ATATAAGTAAATCACATAGACAAGAAAGGCCTGCAGTCTTGAGCTGTAAAGATCAAGAAATAGAGAAAATGTGATTTTCTTCTGCAGTTGTTTCAGAAGTTAATCATTATTATTGAAAATATGTCTCTGATTTTTAATTGGATTTACCTGCTTTTACCATCTGTCTGCTAGAGAGTGGGGAGTGTTGGTTTTGTACCATTTTCCTCTACAACTGAGGATCATAAAATAGCTATATATGGCTGACAAAAGTATCTACAAGATATCTGTTGGATGAGGACCCCATATGTGGATCGGATGTAGATGGAATTGGAATAGTCCCGTGCTTCCAGCCTCTCCTGAAATTCCTCTGAAGGATTTATGTCTCACTGTTAGGCTTTATTTCCAAGCTTTAACAATGGCCAGATTTTGTCATTAGTAGCTTTGCCAATCAGGATCACATTCCTGAAGTACATACCGTAATACAGACATTTTCTTGTGTCTTGATATAAGCAAGGCTGTAGAATCAAACCCTTAATAAATCCTTTGTCAGCTTTTATAATGGTGATTCCTCCCTGATTTGATGAAGCAGTGCTGCTGATAACGCATGTGAAGAACTGCAGAATTGTCTCTTAGAGTTACGAGAATTAAAATTTCTGTGTTAAGAAATTTAGATTCAGACTTACGAGAAACCCAAATTTCACACCAATGGCAAATTTAATTTGCATTTGGTGAGATTTCACCCCAGATGCTTAAATGATGAGAGATTTATATAGAGCTAGTAAGCTGATAGTAAAAATTCTTGCTTGCAGAAGTAATATCACCGCTACACTGAACACTTTAATTGTGTATGCAGGCACTTCAAGCTGAGCAGAAATGAGGTTAATGTTTGCATTGTTTATCTAAGAGAATTCATAAGGGAAATAATAATCAGAAGTGTGTTTCTGTAAAAATAGCTGATATAATACAATGGAGAAATGCTTAGTGTTGAACAATTCTTCTGAGATACATTGTTCTGTGAGCTGAACTCAATTTAAGTCTAACTTAGTATTTCATTGTCTGACATTGATTATTTACATCAAAAATGAAATAACTTGAAGGTTAACTGCCAATTGTACTGTGATGTCACATAAGATAAATTTAGAGATTGGAAATTCAGAGCAAAGGACAACCACTAGCATTCCTAATCACACTGTCTTTATAAGCGCAGAGCTTTCAAGCTGCTTAGGAGTGTGGTATGTATGATTATTTCATTTCTTCCAGGTTTATGACATTGTTTCATAACTCTAAATATGTGTCTAGAAATGCTGCTGCAGCCTAGGGTTAAGGAAAAAAAAAAATCAAGCCCATAGAGGGAGTATCCTAACTGGGAAATATAACAATGTCATATCTGCTTTGAAAGTGTGGTGTGCTCTTTGCGGAACAGGTGTTTGCCTAGATGAAAGTGTTACTTCTGTGACAGATTGATCCATGTTTTATAGGTAGCTGTTTATGGGGAATGCTACAGTTTAATTTCTAAAATTTGTAGTCTTCCTTGTGCTTCCACTCACAACAGAATTAAGAGAACAGATTCATGGGGTGGGTGCAGTAATTTATGGAATTTAGTTTCACAGAGTCTGAATTTATCAGATATATAAAAATCATTGTTCTGTTTATATTCTAATATATTTTCTCTTTACTGTAAATCTTTGTGGTGATTTTGAGCACAGCAATTAATGAGATACAATTTAAGTCTCTAATAAGGCTTTAAAAAGGACTCATGTTATTTGGATCTATAGCCTGTATTTTTTTTATTCCTAAACATTTAGTTTTCCCTTTTTAGAGAGATGGGATAAACCAAGTGATTTTCTTTTTTCCTTTATTTGTCACAAGAACTTTCTTGAACTTATTGTCTTGAACTTTACCCATATTTAACTCCGTAAGTGTGATACATTTTTCGAATAAATGTATAAAAAACCTACTTGCAGTGAAATTAAGTATCTGTTAACAAATGTAGTTGATGTTTACCTGCCACTAATCTGTGGCAGTATTCCAAGGGCACTCTTGTCATATTTAGTTTATTAACCTAATTGAAAACTAAAGAAGCTGTATAAGTGATTGATTTTAAGCAGAAGATACCTTCAGCAGCAAGCAAGCAATTAACAGAAAACGTCCCATTTAAAACTGTGTGTTTCTTCCTGAATGCTACTCTCATTGTTTCTGTATATAATATATTCACATCTGCAGAGCAAGTGGTTACGTATGGTGGCTGTAGCTCCTATCAGTTGTATTGTAATTAGTGCTTCAAATTTGTATGATTAGTGCCATTTGTATGATACCATTTTCTGTCTGGCTAAAGTCAGATGGACTGATTTTTCAGTCCTTGCTTGGGCAAAGGACATGGGAAGTAAGGGGAGGTAGGCAGCATGCATGTTTTTGTGTCTGTATTTATACCCTTGTCTGTGTTACTTGCTGTCTGCCTCAGGGCTATACTAACTTCCACCCAGCTGTCTGTTTACATCTGCATTAACTCTTTTCAATAAGAATTTCTTTATCTCTTGCTTGGCTGGTTTCACAGTTCCTTGCTTTTACAGCTGATCTAGCCTGAAAATTCGCTAATTTTGGCAACAAGATTGGTACACTACTGGGATTTTTCTGCTATTCTGTTTTGCATATGCCTGCTTTGCCTTTCAATATGTATGAGTGACTCTAGCTCTTAGAAGGCACTTAATGGATTAGCTGATCTAAGCTCTCTATTTGGTTCAAGGCAAAGACTGTGTTTCCCTAGAGGTGACAGTAATCCCAATGGGTCATTCTGATATCCAAAGATAGCCTTAACTAGCATACTTACTGTTCTTCCTTTACTCATGGGCACAAGCCATGCTTTAACTAGGAAGAGTCATAGCTACCATACAGTCCTGGAGGAGGTTTACACAGTAGTTTGTACTTGTTGACTTTGATAGTTTTGAACAGTAGTAAAGGCAGAGTCTGTCCATGTGTGCTAAATCTCAGGCTTTATCCTGTAGAGGGCAAAATGAGGCCAATACAAGAACTCAGTTTTGCAATAATATTCACACTGCTTTGCATTTTACCCAGAAACTCCTGTTAAGCCGTGATATGCAGGTAGAACATGCAGTGAAGTGATAAAGCTTGTCTTAACTTACACAAATCCACTTTCCACCTAAGCAACTGAATGTAAGGAAATTTTTATTTCAGGCATCTACATGTGCTTGCAAGATGAGTCACCCATACTTACGTATGATTCGCTTTTTTGCTTCATAGAGCTCTCATTCACTGGTTCCTTAAATATTTACTCAACACTCAAGGTGGGGTTTCAACATACCATTTTACCTGAACAGTAGGCAAGACTTGAGTTATTGTGGCTTCCATGCATGTGCAAACACAGACAGGCTCTGTGAATAATTATTTATCTCAAACATATAAAACTTCTAACCTGTAGCTACTTTTTGAGTGCTTGTCTGTAACTTTTTAGACTAATGCAATTAGAAATAATAGTAATTTAAAATAGCCATATAATAATAATTTAGCATAGGGAGAAAAATACTGAGTTTTAATTATTTAATGATACTGTATAATTTTTTCTTCTGTTGCAAGGCATATTTTAATTCAGCTAATGTTTTTCCAGTAATAATGGCAACTTCATTGTAAGGACTCTAATGGAATATGCTGTATAAACCAGCAGCCATAAAAGAAATTACTTGATATTTTACATATCAGTTCCCTGAGGAAGGAGAGCAAGGACTTTTCATCTGGGACATTCATTTCTAGTTTAAAAGGAGATGAAAATGTTTAATAAAATGAATACACATACTTAAATAATTCCTAGAGATTAACATGTCTGTGGGGTTAATGTATAGAGATGAATGTATTTTAAAGGTTGACTAAATGTCCTCAGATTGCTGTAGTTCTCAGCTGTCTAGAAGAATGTACCACACAAATCACAAAGTTACTTACATTTTCATACGTTAAGTATAGTAGTGCATGTGCAGATTGGGTTCTACCAGAGTATGATATAAATACATTACAAAACCAAAGAGGAAATCCACAAAGGCCTTTAGTCTCTGTGTCTGTATCGAAACATTCATATACATGGGTCTGTGTTAAGTGAATGAAAAATGTGGCCAGCAGTTAAAATGGGTTTCATTGTGTATGCAGACTTCGGAAGTGTGCTTGCTTATATAAACCCTCTTCTTTCCCATTTGGAAAGGAAATTATTAATGGTTTTCTTCAGCCTTATTCGGATTTTTCAACTTTGTGAACTTCATCTATGGCACCTGGGTGCTCACAATATACAAAAACTTTGGATTGTATTATGCAAGATATCCAACTCAATAGCAAACTCAAACACAGAAAATTTACCCATCTTTTCCAACCCTAATTATTCTATGATTCTATGATTTTGTGCTCCTCTCTTTACCTGGTGGCATAGATACCCAGCTTATCTTCTGTGCTGCATGGGCACTCTGAACAAGGCCTTGGACTGCAGAGCAGTGTAGACTGGTAACACTTTCCCCCTTGATCTGACAGTGGTCCATTCACACTGTTCACCTTCATTTTTTATGTTCTTGACATGAACTTGCTTGTTTTGCCACGGATTTCTGTACTGGGGAGGCCACTTGCTAGTTTTCTGTGGTGTGAGCAAGGATTTCTTGCATGTCAAATATACTAACAGAAACTGGATGAGAGACCAGTCAAAGGGGTTCTATCTGTAAAAAAAAATAAAGAGCAAACTTTTGAGCAGAGCACTGTTACAGTATTGATCTTGGAATTCCTGTGTAGTGATGAATTAGTTTTGAGATGAGAATACTTCAGGGAAGCTAGGGTACAGCTTCAACTCCCACCATACTCTGGTATTCGAAGAATAGAGGTAGCTTTTTATAATTTTTGTGTGTTGGCGGTGGAACACATCTCAATAGTCTGACTTTGCTGAGCAATTGGAAACCTCTATGATGTTTTCAAGTCACTTAGGACAAAAAAAGAAAAATATTTGAGTTTGGATCTGACAATTTTGTCTCTCTCCTAAGTTGCTGACCAGCAAAGAAGAGAGAAACTGAAAAAGAAGATAGCCAGGTGTGAAGAGGAAATGAGTGTGGGTAAAACTGCCTCCCGAACCAGTTCAAGAGAGAGCGGAAGGCTGCTGGTATCCCCTTTTGGAAAGGTAGGTACTTTAACTTTGTTTAGTAGATATCATAGTTTGCTTGCCTACCATAGTAACAGCTGTGCAGCAGCTCTAGCAGCAGGGCTGGCATATTTCAAGCAGCAGAAAATAGACAAGGGTCTTCCTGGCACATGCATGTGCCAGCACCAAATGCATGTCTCGGCCTTCTGACAAAGATGTCAGGTATCTGGAGGAAAAGTGCTTGTGGTAAATTCAAGCTTTAGTTAGCCTTGAATTCGCTTGCTGAAATTTTAACGTGCTCTCTCACTCCAGAGCTTTCTACTGTTTCCTAAAGCAGAATTCCAATTAGCACTAACTATTCCAGTGGAAGAATTGGGAATCTTCTATTTATTATTTATTTTCTGTATCCTAAGTCCTACTTTGGAAGTACATTGCGTATCTAACAGTATACTGTATGCTCAGATTGCAGTTACTGAAAGTGAAAATAGTACTTAAGCCATCAAATAAGTGCGTTTCTGTCTATTTACATAGGTTCAGTTCTTATGGATAACATTTCATCCAGATATGTGATATATATTTCCAAATAATAAATAGCCTAATAACCTACATTCTCTTGTTCATTGCTGTAAAGGAGCAATTGCAGCTTAAAGCAGAATGACGTTTACTCTGTTGATTTTTAATAGCAGATGCTTCATATATTGTTTAAATATTCATGGAGCTGGAGAACATTTCCTGGTAGCGCAGAAAACTCACTCTTTATTTATTTGTGTGACTAGTTTGGGTATTTCCCTAGCCATCAGGATATATAGATAAGTGACAGCTGGAAAACAAATTCTAAGGATGCCTATTAAAGCATATGATACAGGAGTTTTACCACACAGTGATCCTATGAGTGCTGTCACTGTTGCCATTAGGAAAAAGCTGATTATACATCTTCTGTTTGTGGAACTGCTCAAAAACTGTCTTGTTAAATCAGGATATTTGTGGGTTGGAATGAGATTCAGCACAAACTTGAAGCAGTCAACCTTGCAATACTCCAGGTTTCCAAGGAGGTAATGGCAGAGTAGAATATGGTCCTGTGCTTAGTAAGCATCTTACAGCATTTAGGAGTGTAAAAAAAATAAAAGGAAGAAAAGTAGACTTCTCCTGGCTTTGCACTGTTACATTTAAATGTAAGAATACAAAAGTTAAATTACCTTCATAATGAATAATTTATTGTCTAATAAAATGTGGCTCTTATAAAATGTGTATCAATTTGAGTGGCTTACATACACGTATATACATAAAAAAATATAATAACCCTTCAACTCTGACAAGGTCAATGTCTAGATTATAGCCTAAATACATGCTAACTCCTTTGATGGATGCACCTGACTTTATGTTTTCAAAAGGCTTTATTCATCAGCATTCACATTTTATGCATTCTGATAGGTCTGGTGCCTTTATTCCATCTTTTTAATTTTTCACATAGCTGCATTTACTATTTTTTAATACTGCAATAGAGCACAGAAACTGTTTTCAATTGAGACTGTGCTTTGTGCATGGTAAAACAAAAAAGAAGTAAAAATAATTCCTCTACATTACAAATACATGTTACACATTTCTTAAAACCTTTGTGATATAGTCAGTATATTTTATTATACACTAAGGCAACTATGAAACTGAACAGCTGTAATGCGTCTTGAATCTGACTTGCCTGCTATTTGACTTTTTTGTACAAGGGTTTAAATGCACCAGAAGAGTGATTTCTTTATCTATTATATCTAATTATAAATGTAAAACTACTGTAATGTGAGAATCTGCTATGATGTGTAATGAACTGCGAAACTTACTTCTGTTGTGGTTACCTAGATTTCATTACTGACTCTTTGAAATAGCCATAGATTTTAATCAACGAGAGTATTTTGATCTCAGTGATTAAAATATTCCATCTAGGACCACAGGTTGGGTCATGCATTTCTATACTTTTAGCAGAAGATTTAAGTGAGAAGCTGAGAAGCAGCCTCATTTTCAAATGGCACAATGGAGCAGTCTTTGTATGGCATCACTAGCAATAGATTACTTAAGGGACCGATTTGTCTCTCACAGTGAAGTAGAAGGGCAGGGAAAGCATAAGATATGGTGGGGACATCTGTACTTCTCTTCTGCTCCTTTCTTTCCATGTAGTGTAATAATGAAGGTTGACACCATATGTGAAAGCTAATCAAAATAAGATGATAAACTATAGATATGGATTCTGAAAGCACTGCTAACTTTGTGTGGTTTTGTGAATATGTAATTTTAAAGCTTATTTAGACTGAATAGCTTGAGGATTGATAAGCACAGTTTTGGGTATCTACTAATTTATCTGTCATCAAATTACTTATATATGCTCCTTTCTTAATGAATTACTGTTAAGTTTTCCCACAACAGAAAAGGCTGCTTGACAGAGTCTGGAAAATACCAAATATGCATAGAACGCCACTGTTACATAGTCTTTCTGACTACTGCCGGGGATTGAAAGCTATATCCTAGTGAAATCTCTAGATTTTCAATTTTTTATTTTTCCGTAAAAAGATGAGTTGAGTTTTTAAACATTCACCTGAGTCAGCAGGTCAAACTGTATGAAGCTCCGTATGACTTCTCTGAAGCAAGAAAACCTGGATTGGCCTGGCCATGACTAAAATCTCTTGATTTGAGCAAGACTTGGTATTTCATATCCCATATTCAGGTAATCCTATTAATAGTCATCTGTGGCTGCTAATGAATTTTTTTAATGAGAGTAACCCATGTTGAAAGTCAGTTGGAAGAAGGCTGCTCCACAGGAGGTAACTTTTATCCATATTGGAATATCCATATCCATATTTTAATTATCCATATCCATATTTTAATCATGTTTGAAATATGGTTGCTATTGCCTTGACATGTCAAGATCCCTTTCAGCCTGTTTTTTGAGACTGTTTTGATTTCAGTGACAGTTATGACCATCTGCTTGTGCGTATGAAATACAGATTAAGAAACACCATTAACTGTTTCTAATCTTCCTGGTTTTGTATGCAGCACACCTGCGTGGCTGTGTGAATTGCCTACTCAGATGCTTTATATTTAAAGATTTATTACACTGTTATGATATTAATTCTGAAGATGTATTGTGCTTGAATTAGTCCTGTCAGAATGAGAGATGTGACTAAAGAAAGCAGAAGAACCTTCTGAGCACCAAAGAAAGACGTTTTCATCAGGAGTGCTCAGTACAGATTTCCTTTCAGGCTTCATAGTGACAGTCACCTCTCATGCTGATTGTTTGAATTAATACATTTCCATATGCACCTTCAGCAACACCCTTTACTAGTAACATCCCAGTATTTGATGAAAGTAGGAACATACCTCATTATACAATTGTATACCACACACATAAAAGGAAAGTGTAACAGGAACATAGTTTTGAATAGAAAAATAGATATATTGATGCCAATATGCAAACTGATTACAGATCTTACTTGTTCATGTGTATATGTGAATTTTCTCTTTTGCCTTTCTCAATTCTTAACTAATTATCAAATTGTGTCATGGAATCTTATAGATATGTTGATGCCAATATGCAAACTGATTATAGATCTTATTTGTTCATGTGTATGTGTGAATTTTCTCTTTTGCCTTTCTCAGTTCTTAACTATCAAATTGTGTAAAGGAGTGTGACCAGCAGGTCAGAGGAGGTGATCCTGCCCCTCTACTCTGCTCTTGTGAGACCTCACTTGGAGTATTGTGTGCAGTTCTGGTGTCCTCAACACAAAAAGGACATGGAACTGTTGGAACAAGTGCAGAGGAGGGCCACAAGGATGATCAGGGGACTGGAGCACCTCCCGTATGAAGACAGGCTGAGAAAGTTGGGGCAGTTGAGCCTGGAGAAGAGAAGGCTGCGTGGAGACCTCATAGCAGCCTTCCAGCATCTGAAGGGGGCCTAGAGGGATACTGAGGATGGACTGTTCATTAGAGACTGCAGTGACAGGACAAGGGGTAATGGGTTAAATCTTAAACAGGGGAAGTTTAGATTGGATATAAGGAGGAAATTCTTTCCTGTTAGGGTGGTGAGGCACTGGAATGGGTTGCCCAGGGAGGTTGTGAATGCTCCATCCCTGGCAGTATTCAAGGCCAGGTTGGACAGAGCCTTGTGTGACATGGTTTAGTGTGAGGTGTCCCTGCCCATGGCAGGGGGGTTGGAACTAGATGATCTTAAGGTCCTTTCCAACCCTAACTATTCTATGATTCTATGAACAGATGACATACAAAGTGCTTATAAGATCAGCAACTATAGACAGCTTCTTGCTTGCAGCAGGAGACCTTTGCTCTGTCAAGGCAGTGGAGAGCAGGCACTCACCCTGCTTAACAGCAATACTCAAGTGGCTTATAAATGGTTCTGTCTCAAGTTAAAAGAATCAGATGCTCATTTATTACTAAACTGCAGCTTCTGTATCTTGACAGTATCATCAAGTGTGTCTGGTCTGATTTTATGATGGTAGATGAACCATCTATTTTATTGGAAGACTTTTTCATACAAGAACAAGTTAATTTCAAGGCTTAAATTCATCTCAGTGTAACTTCAGTGATCATAGTGAGAGGTGTCTTTGGGCCTTTTATGTAAAAAGAGATTTAGAGAGCTTTCTTTTCAAAGTTTGTTTTTTAAAAGGCAGGTGATGCCTCAGAGGCTTTTGAGTTGAAAAACTAAACTTCTTTTAGAAAGTAAAAGTAACTTAGAAATCTGGATTCTTTATCTTACTTCTTTTGCCCATCAGGTAACCGCACTATGCTTTGATCTGTCTTTATTGAACTTCCTCTCCGATTGGGTCAATGTAGATTCAGGGGTCCTCTTTTTACAAGCTTGCTGCAAGTAATAGTCCATTTACCCCAGTTTTGTGACTAACAAAATTGAAGCATAGCTACTTAATTTATGAAACCTTTTTAAGGGAGTTATTGCTGAAATGTGTCATTGAGTAAATTTTTATTTTACACCTCAAATTAGAGTTGAAACTGTAAATTTCAGAATATCTATCAATAGAATAGATATTGGTAAGCAAGATAGGTGTTGAGATTCTTGATTCCAAATTATGTTATAGTTCATGATAGTGCTTCTATCCAAAGATAGGATATTTCCCTGGGTTTTTATTTTTTTCAGTTGTGTCCGAAGAATAGAGCTAAGGATCTTTCAGTGTGTTACTCCATCTTTGCAGGCATGCCTCTGTTGGTTTTTTTTTCCCCATAATGCTTTTATAGATACAGATCAGAGAAGAACGTACTTGCTTACAGTTAACATGCCTGTACCAACACAGGTGTACAAATAATTTTCCGAAAGCTTGGTGACAAATTGCAGACAAACAGCGTTCTCTGACATGCCTTAAAATCTTTTTGAGGTCACCAGCATAATTCCTTGTTACTGATACTATTTCTTTGTGTATCCAGAGGCTGAACTGCCTACTTGTTTGAGCAGTAAAAGTTTACCCCAGGGTTAGGACTTCAGAAGACATTCTTCTTTCTCAGCACTTAAATGAGTACGTCTCAAGACTGACACAAATGCAACTTGGGTTTGCGGTTTTATCTAGTCACTACCTAGCTACTTGGCTGTTCTACTCATGATAGGTTTGAGGAGGAGAACTGCCCTAAGCTTCCTCATAAATAAGAAATGCTTGAATTCAGGATATTATCACATTTACCCTGTAGCTTTGTCTTGTTTTATGATCAGCTCAGCTGCTTTGAAGAAATAGAATATGGGGCTTTCATGAGATGTAGTTGTGTAATTGCTTAATATCACTTTATATTATTATCATCATCACATGTTCACAAATGCATCTACAAACTGATTTATTTTGCAGCTCCCTGAACTTGTTAGCCACTGGGAGTAAAAAGTATATAGGAAAAATTAAGCTGTCTATAATACATGCTGAAGAGTATGGAATGAAGATAGGCTGAGAAAGTTGGGGCTGTTCAGCCTGGAGAAGAAATGTCTGTGTGGAGACCTCATAACAGCCTTCCAGCATCTGAAGGAGGGCTATAGGGATGCTGGGGATGGACTCTTCGTTAGGGACTGTAATGACAGGACAAGGGGTAACAGGTTAAAACTTAAACAGGGGAAGTTTAGATTGGATATAAGGAAGAAATTCTTTCCTGTTAGGGTGGTGAGGCACTGGAATAGGTTGCCCGGGGAGGTTGTGAATGCTCCATCCCTGGCGGTGTTCAGGGCCAGGTTGGACAGAGCCTTGGATGCCATGGTTTAGTGTGAGGTATCCCTGCCCATGGCAGGGGGATTGGAACTTGACGATCTTAAGGTCCTTTCCAAACCTAACTATTCTGTGATTCCGGGATTCTATGAATTAACTTTTCAAAACATCTGTATAGGTGAATTCAGAAAGTTTCCAGTCTCACCTGTTTTCTATAGTGCTGAGCTGCAACTACAAGTACTTCATATGCAGACTAACACTGGTAAGCCTTATTATACTGCTTGCTAACACAGGCATTTGTTTGGCATTGTTATGCATGTTATCAGTTCAGCATTTAATTATGCTGTAGTAGTAACATGGAGTTGGCTCACATGAGACACCCATCAAGAAGATCTTATTTTGGCACAGCTAAAAAAAAGAAAACTAAAAAAAACCCACCTAAAACGAAAATACCTTTTTGCATTAGGTATCAGGAGCTGTGGACATTTTGGGATACTGGACTAGCAGAGATAGGTGTAACTGATGCAGGAGATAATGTTGCATGGAATTGTGAAGGAAATAATATGGCATGACAGCAGTGTGATCTGTGACTTAATTTTGATTATAAACTATCTGCCTTTTTTTTTTATATTCCCATAAATTGCATTTACTGTGTGCCATAGAATGTATTTTCATAATCTTGGGTTTTAATTTAAAATATTCAATGCTTCTGAATGGGGAAAAAGTAAATAGTGTAGATTGCAAGCAATAAAAGTAGCAGTGTTATGAGAAAATGCGTCATTTGTACAGTAAGAGCATAGAAAATCTTCATGTACTTACATGATATACTATGAATTATATAGGTTAATACACTGTATTATATATTACTATCCTGTACTATATATTAGTAGGTTACAGTGGTTGTTTGGGGTTTTTCCCCCTCCCTAGCTCTCCCAGTAGGAGACTTCAGAAGCATCACAAGTAGTTATAATCTTGCAGAATTCTCACAGGTACTTTCTTTCACAGTTGATTCTGCTGCTTTTATTGACATTCGGTCCATTGCCACTGGTGGGGAAAATCACACATCCAACTTCAGTCCACATCTTAGGCATCTGATTGTTTTCAGAAAGTTTATATTGTGCTCAGGCAGTGAAGCACCACCAGAAATCCACCTAATCCATGCTTTGGTGTTAGTGTCTCAAAATAATTTCAACAAGGATTAACTGTAAAATGAGGATGGGTTGCTGGGTGAATCTTCTCAGCTGGCAGTTAGGGTTGTATGCCATAAGTAATTGCATATGTTTAAGTCATATCATACTGGATCCACTCTTTCTCAGGCTTTCTGTAGGGGAGCTATTCCTTCAGTGCCATCAGTAATGTAATGTTTCTACTTAATAGTCTTTATATGTTTGATAGAAGCATAATAGAGATGAGTGAAACACAGAAATCAATTTCCCTTTCTCCCATTTTTCACTGCAGAGCTTTGTGGCCTGTACAGGTCTCTCCTATCTTCCTGTTCTTTGTTCAGATGATGGAGGGACATCAACAAGTTAATCTATGTTTTATCTTTGAACGTAAACTTCGGGTTTCTTACAAATCTGGTCCTCAACTGCCCTTAGAAATTGAATTTTCTTCTGAGGAAACACCTGTACTTGTATACGTTCTCCTAAATCTTGCAGCATGTAGGTACTATTGATGTGAAGCTACATCAGCTGCCTGTGTGTAAGGAAAGTAAAATAATTCTTTTTAAAAGTCTAGCTAGTTACAACTGAATTATTTTGGATCTACCTGCTACCTCTTGGGTTTGAATTGGGTTTTCTCAGATGTCGTTTTATTTTAGCTGTTATTTTGCCTTGTATTACAGTGATTGCACAGAACATGAGTTTTTCTGGAATAACACTATCATCAAATTGTCTTCCCTCACTGTTGCAGGACCTAGGTGTAAGCGCTGTCTCTGGGAGTTGTCCTTCTAGGTAGTTTGAATACACACAATGCAGGTTCTCTCTTTTCCATCATACAGTTGTGTGTAGCGGAACTTGAACTGCATAAATAGTTATACATGTGGATGAAATTAGTCAGTTTATTCAAAAATTTGTTTGCTGTCAGGTTTATGGTTTAATCTTATAATTCTACATATATGGTTCTCTTCAGAGATTGTAAATGTCACACGTACATGTCACTGACTGACAGGACATTCAGTGGGCGGCTGCGTCCAAGGGCAGGAAAAGAATATACAACAGGTGTCTTGCTAAGATGCTTCCTAACTCTTCGGGTCACAATGTACAGCATGTTTACTGGAGCACATACCCTGTCCAGGTGTTTATGCTTTGAAGCTGCAAACTTTTCAAAATTTCTTCTTTGACAGAAATAACATTTCTGTTGAATTGTTCTTTCTCATTTGGGGGAACGGGGAAAACAACAAACCCTTAAGATGTCAGTTAGATTTATTTATATTCCTGTCTTTCTTGTCTTTGCCATGATCTCGTAATACATTTCAGGGATAATGTTGACTTTTTAAGCATTAAGTTTGAATTTGGTTGGGGTTTTTTGGTGGTGGTTTTTTTTTTTTTTTCTTTCCCAGAAAACAAAATAGCATGGTCTTTTCAAATAATTCATTTTTTAGCCTTTCTGAATGGTAGACTTAGTTTTCAAATATTCATTTTTAGGTTATCAACTGTTTCTTCACCCCTGGCATTAAAACAGTGTTTTTAGTAAGGCTCAGCCCTTCTGAAATGGAATATATTGGAAAATTACCCATCACCTTCCATAGGACAGATTTATGTAGCTTTTAGTCTGAACCACACACTGCTTACATCTTACCTTAGCCATACCACCACGTACACTAACACTGAGTATGAGTTTGCTTGTGAGAGTTGAGGTACATTTTTAAACTCTAATGTGTTGAACCGTTAAGAAGCAGGAGCAGTAATAGCATTTGTGTACCATCACCTGAATTGAGTATATCTGTACATAAACTGAGCACATTGCTGCTCAGAAATCAGTTTTAATTTTACAAAAATGGCAACTTTTTACATAGAAAAATACATCCAAATTGGTAACAGTGATAACTGGGAGTAACAACTTGAGCAAAGCTGGTAACTTGCAAAGCAATCAAATCTTGTTTTCATTTTTTCTAGAGTTTCTTGGAAACAGAAGACAAAGACTGTCTCTTCCCCTGTGCTTGGCAGGCACAATACCTATCGAGAGCGCCGTCTCCTTACAGTGCGCATGGCTTGGCTCACTCCAGTCCAGTAACATACGCCAGAAAAGGTTCTCGGAATACATCTAACTCAAGTGTCAGTACATCACGTACACCAAGAAAACGCTCTGGACTTTCGTGCAATTGTTCCTCTGATAGTTCTGTGAGCACTAGTCGTTCCCAGAGGCGTCAAGGAAGCAACTCTAAAGCACGCAGTGGGGATCTTCTAGAGAGGCACTCTGAATTCTTTACTCATAGCCGAAAACCTTTTACCCCACACATCTTAATATCAGATGCTAAATCTTTCTTGTCAGGGTACAGGTATTACAATCCTGCTCAAAGGAAAAGGAAAACTAAAAACCAGTGCAAGCAACATGTGGAAGCTCAAACACAGACTGATCTGATCAGGTAGAGAGATCAAAACTTTATTTTGATACTGCAATTTAGTTGTTGTGATAAGATCATATCTCCAGGAAAGCAACACGTTTTGCTCTCACATTTGTATAAAACCAGAATAATTATTCTGAAATTATTCTAGATGTGCCTTAGCAAAAGCTAGAATGGAATTTGTTTCTGGTTTTTTCCACTGGCATATTTTGTTGTCCTCTCTCTGGAGCAACTGGTTTCAGCTATATGAATTGGATACAAAGTGACACTGAATGCAGACTGTAGGATCTCAGGCTTGCTAGGGATAATCTTTACACTCTCTCTTTTCTTTGTTTTCTCTGGTGTATAGTTGTGCTTTCTGTCTTCTAAAGAATTAACCACTTATAAGCATGCAGGTAGTTCTGCACTGCTGCCCCTGTAGTCTCATACTTTCCAAATCACTAATTAATACATCATGCAAACATTTTTTTAAACTCCTAAATGCAGCTTTTCACTATCTTTTTAACAATTTAAATGCCTTCAGATGTGAAATACTGTATACTGAATCAATGTCCTACGCTTGCACTGAACACCTTAGCAAGTTGAACAGTTTTATTTTAGTTAATGCTACCTCATAAAGAGAAATCTCCCCTTTACGTTGTCAGTGCCTGCATATCTAACTCTGTTTTTTTTCCTAAAACAAAGTGGGAATGTTGTAAGACTGGAATAATGATAACTGAAGTTCCATGTTGCAACTATTGATTTTCTTGCTGTGGGTCATGTATTTTCCTGGTGCACTTCTAGTGTACAGGATCACCTCCATTCTTAATTCTGAACAATTATTTTGGGTAGTTTAACTATCCCCTGTAAATATGCAGCCAAATAATGGATTTGGGTCACCTATGTATGACTGTTGTCATCCTTCAAAGTGAAACATGACTTAATTACGTGAGTGGAAATCTGACAGACATTTTCTAAATTGTCAGGCATTTTGGTATTAGGTCCCATTCAGATTGATGGGAAATTTCCCCAGTGGCACTGGTATTCTCATCCTGCATATTTTGAAAGCAGCCTTCTTGGAAGTCTAATGCGTCTCTAAATTTTATAGCTTTCCATCTGCAGAAAAAGCGTTTGAGAGAGAAGTTATGGCTGAGCAGCAGAAGAGCATGTTGAAGGTAATACATCTGTCAGTAATCTGGGTACTCTTACCACACACCTTTCACCATCATTTTGGGGTATATACTTCATCTCTGCAACAGCAATATACAACTGCTTTAAGTTTCCTTTTTTTTCACTGTCATGAGATAACTTCTGTAAAGGAGAGTTTCAGAAGAGCAAGTGGAAACAATAAGAAAAAATACTGCAGATGTGAAGAGATAATACCTTATTGTATTATGAAATTTAAAAATTAAACAGTTTCTACAGTATCGCTTAAATATCTGTTAAGGACATAGGTAATTGGTACATAATTTTTCAGAGGAAGTAGGTACCTCTTTTGCACTATTTTTCTTCATTTTAACATTGGATAACGTATTCCAAAATATTGTTGACATAAGAATTGGAACCAAGGAGTCCCTTCCTTTAAGGAAGCACCCAAACCAGTGGGCAGTCAAGTTATCCATAATCCTGTTTGCTCTGTGTCTTGTTGAATATATCTGGAATGCCTTAATGAAAAATCTCACCACTTCAGATTCTACCAGTTCCTAGTATTCTTTTGTCATAGTCACAGAAATGTTTGCATTAATCATTTTGCTTTGAATTGCTCAGTGTTTGTGACACTTGAACTTAGTTTTTTGGTCTTTCAAAAATTGTCTCAGCATGTGGTTTAAGATTACTAACTTTTAAAGATGAGATTGAATATCAGCACCTTTTGGAGGCAAAGGGAAGCAGGCAGAACACCTGAAGTATTTCTCAAAACTTCAAATCTGAAGTTACTTTGTTGTAATTTGTACTAATATTTGGATGAATGAGTTTTATCAGAAGTTAGGTTCCTACTTTGTGGTTTATCTTGTAGCCACTATACAAACAAGTTCTCAAACAAGCAGCCCTTTCAAATATAGGAGAAATACTTGAATAACTGTAGACTTCATTCCTGAATAAAAGCTACAGGGTCAGATTCTTCATATCTCTAGCTTAATAAGGCAAATAATTACGCTTTATTCATTGGAGGGGAGGGGTAGCAGAGAATATGTATTTATAGCTTTACTGAAAATAAAGAGAGACCACCTGAACTGATCTGCATCTGACCTCATTACGAAAAGGTTAAATGATTAGTCAGACGGTTTTGTGAAGAGCTTCTGATTTCATTTCAAAACTGTCATATCTGACTTTGGGTATCATAAAAGGGACAACAGTAAGTCACATAGCTTCACAGTAGGCCTATCAGAGTATTGTCATGTAAAATGTAGGTCAAGTGGTCAGCAATTTTACTTCCCATCAGTTTTGTGCAAGCAGGGTCAGAGATGTGATTTAGACTGCTGGATCCTGGTTGTGTATACCAAATCTTACTTCTGTTGGTGCCATCAACCCCCTCTGGCTTCTAGAGAATTCATCTTTGACATACTTCTCAGGGGAAAAATGTTCCACGTGTCCTCTTGCCCCTCACTAAAATTTTGGATGTCAAAACTGATGACCATTTGTTGCCATATGTCTTAGTTTACCCAGAGTTAAAAAAAAATACATAAAATCTGTAGGGCTGTTTAATCATAGATCGTTATTAGGTTCATTTTAATGGTAAAATTTGCTGTGTGCTTGCACTTAGGTAAAGAGTTTACCTCTGTGTTGTAGGCTGAAGATAGAAGATACACTGTGCATGAGCCTCAGAGAAGAATAGCTGCTTTTCCATACTCCTTCCTCAGGTACTTGATTTAGAGCAGGAATGAATATTTGAAGCCTTCTTGCTTTCTATACAGCTGCTTCTTAGGCCATAAGCCTTCACTATGGGCTCTCTCTAGAAATGTCTTCTCACAGGACTTTGCTTTGTATTTTTATATATCAGTGGCCTTTCCCAACTTCAGAATTCATTATTTTCTTATGATAAAGTTCCACTGGGAAGCCAGTTAAGAAAGAGAGCTCTGAAATATATGAGTATTTTCGTCAGGAGTGGGAGCGATGGCACATTAATAAAGCTGTTAGTTCTGTACATCTGAGCTCATAGATTGTATTTCTTACACAGTACTACTTACTAGTACTACACAGCACTAGTTACAGTGGTACTACTAGTACTACTAACTATATTGGATTTGTATTCCAGTTGATATTTCCTTTCAGGAAAAAGGGTCTCCAGACATCCAGCCTTTTGAATCTTACGATCTGTAAGAACTGCAGATGAGAGGCATTTCCTGTATCTTTTTCTGATAGTGTAAAGCTTTGTGACAGAATACTGTCTACAGTACAAGAACAGTGTTGGAAATCAGGCCAGAGCCCAAGGGCTCCCACCTGATTCTCCTCATTGCTGGCCTAATTATCATGCACATCTTGCTGGTTTGCTCTCTGGTCCTTTCAAAGGCATTTTCAGCTGAGAAAAAGCTGTATTCTAAGTTTAAAAAAAAAGAAGCACTCTTAGGGTAATGGAGGTCTTTATAGCATCTGAAGTAACACTGAGGGCTTTGAGATATTAGAGCACTGCATCTAGTGAGGTGTTAAAATACTCCGGAGTCACTATCTTTGAGGCTTCCGTGTAATTCAGGAATAAATGTAAGCAATAGATTTTGCTACTGGAGCAGGGTTTAGGGATGTTCTGGTGGATTTTTTTCCCAAGAGGAAGTGGGATAATGGCACAGCATAGCTCCAGAAGAAAATGAGATGGAAGATAATATAGAAGATATTTAGAATGTCTCTCACCCTCTGATTTTCTGATTAGAGAGACACCGTTGTATTCTCAGCAGTCTTCTGCAAGGAGGACCATTGAGGCTGAGTAAGTATGCTTAAACTGTTCTTCTGCTAGTTTGCAACACTAAATTGAAAACTCTTCCTCAAAACTGATGCAGTAAATGAGGACTCACAATCTGCAGTAGAATTAACATGATTGAGTTGTTACATAAGACTTTAAAATTTCCACATGAATCTAAAAATGAAGAAAATTCATTGTAACTTTGGAAGAAAGATAGACTTCTCTTCTTGCCCAGGGATTACAAACATTTCCAGTTCCTTTTTGGTCTGTAATCTCTGAAGCAAATATTGACAAAATAAAATACCAAGTTGAGCAGCATTTTTACCACATTTCTACTCTCAAATTTGGTGAGAATTAGAAGAGGTTTAAGTTATTATTATTATTCTTTGGGCGTTAGGATAGATTTGTTCTTGCCTAACTCTAAGGATGTAATATAGGTATCAAAGGTCACCTATAGGTAACTTCCTTTACTGTAGGGGGAACCAAAATGACAATCTTCAGTGTAGATGACAAATTTTACCTAACTAAAGTCATGTAAGATATATCCTATTTTTTATTTTCTGTTTATTAAGACTGGTAGATGATTCGCTAGAGCTTGGTTGGATACTTTGGGATATTTAGAAAGATGCTGTGAAAGAGAACCAGCACTGAAATCTTTGCTTCTGGGGGTTTCTTCCTTGTTGTTTCCAAACAGAATTCTGAACTTTTGGAGTCTTGCATTTGGAGCAATTGGCATCAAACAAGGCTTTATTAAGTATTAAAATAGAAATTTGTTCAAAGAGGTAAAAGCTACATCTCTCACTAACAAGGATTTTGTGTATCAAAGAGTTGTTTGAAAGGAAACACGGCTGTCAAATAAGTACTTTCCTGCGCTTACGGGAGGACTAGTAATTTTCAGGTGCAGTGAGATTCTCTAGCACCTTTGGAAGCCTGTACTTAGAGCATCAGACTGCAATTTTAGACTTCCTTCCCAAACAGCACCCTTTTCTTTGTGACTGCAAAGCAAGTTCTGAACATTTTCCAAAATCTGCTGATTTCCTCACTCAGGATCTCTGTGCTAATTTATACCACAAGAGAAAGAGCATAAACACAAAGCACCACAGTGACCTTTCTAATAGTCTGATATTTTACACAGGGTTTTTATTATTATTCAAATTGAATGAAAGTTTGTCCTAATACAGTTACCTTTTAGAAATACAGAAGCTGGTGCCAAGAAATAACAGTCTTCTGAATCATATTTCCCATAAAGGTGATTGGACCTACTACATTGTGTAATACGTGTCTCTATTTTAAAGCATCTTTAAAACATGTAACACTGGGTTTTCTATTCTCCCTGCAGAGAAGAGTTTTTATATTTAGCTTTCATTGAAGAAGTAACAAATGAAGTTCTTAGCCTTGGGCTATTTTCTAACAGGTAAGTTACATTTGCTTTCAAACTTGTAGTGCTGTGTCAGAAACACATGGACTTAGTAAGTAAAAGAAGCAGGGTTTAGTAATCATTTAGGTGTGTTTAAGAATATCTAGATACATAGCCCTGGCTTTTGTTTTGTTTCCTTTTCTCTTTTGCTTTATGTATGAAAGGGGAAACTAGGGAAGACCTGTGGGTCATCTATGATTTGCTGCCATGTACCATGAGATAAAACCGCTCTTACCACCCGCCAACCGATACCCAGCCCGACCCAAGCAATGATCTAGCCCTTCTGGGTGACTGCCCCCAGTTTATATAGTGGGCATGGCGTGCTGTGGTATGGAATACCTCTTTGGCTAGCTTGGGTCAGGTGTCCTGTCTCTGCTTCCTCCCGGCTTCCCCTCCTCCCTGGCAGAGCATGAGACTCACAAAGTCCTTGGTCAGAGTAAACATTACTGAGCAACAACTAAGAACATCAGTGTTATCAGTGCTGTTCCCAGGCTGAAAGTCAAAAGTGCAGCACTGCACCAGCTACTAAAGAGAAAAAAATGACTGCTACTGCTGAACCCAGGACACAGGCATAATTAAAACAATCTTAGTGGTCCCATTCAGTTAAGAAATGAAAATTAAAAACTATGGTCATTAATTTACGTAGATCTGTTAAGAGTTGTTTTTCTTCCTGTGGACTAATTTAATTGTTCGTTCGTAGAATTCTGGAAAAACTGTTTGAGTGTTTCATAGAAGAAAATAAGAACCGTTTGGATGAGGTGGGTGCTGCCCTATAATACTCTCCTTCTTTGCATATGTCTTCATAGAATCATAGAATGGTTTGGGTTGGAAGTGATCTTAACGATCACTTACTTCCAATCCCCTGCTATGGGCAAGGACATCTTCCATTAAACTGAGTTGCTCGAAGCCTTGTCAAACCTGGCCTTGAACACTTCCAGGAATGGGGCATCCATAACTTCTCTGGGCAACCTATTCCAGTGCCTCACCACCCTCACAGTGAAAAATGTTTTCCTCATATATAATCTAAATCTACCTTGTCCTATCACTACATGCCCTTGTAAAAGCTTGAGTACTGTTTCCAAAGTACAGTGGCTTTGACCATGCACTGGTGTATTTGCCAGTAAAGACAACCAGAATCCTCAGTGGCAAGCATCCCTCTCCATAAATGAGACTTGCAGACTCACAGATCGCAGTAGATCGAGAGTCACAGGCAGAGTCACAAAAAAGGGACAATAATCAACACAGTTTGGAGATGCTTGCTGTATAATTCAGTCAGTTATTGCAAGCAGCCTCCCTTTCTTTCTGTCAGAGTTAAACCCCGAGTTCTGTGAAGACAGGCACGTTGGTGCTGAAGGAGTGTCACCCCTTTCTTTCTTTGCCCCTTAGAGCAAAATGCGCCATTTGTTGAATGTACTGAAAGCAGACCTTGGCTGCAGTCCGGGCAGCGATGCGGAGCACATCCACACAGGCTGGGAAGCCTTGGACTCGCTTGATCTGCGAGAGTTCGATACAGTGGAAGAGCTTGAAGTTATCAGTAGAAGTCAGAGACAAGAAAAAGCTACAAAAAGTTATGAATTCTTTGGGACCATGGACTTATTAAAGGAACCAGAAAAATGTGAATCACCAACATTCAGGGAAAGTTCAAAGGATACGCAGAGCAAGAATGACTTTTCAGAAGATCTCACTGAAATGATGGATGCTGGGGCAGTGTCTGGTTCTTATGTGAAATCTGAAGAAGATGGAGACATTTTACCCTTATGTGAGGCAACTTTAAACTTGATTACTTGTGACAGTGGTTTGGAAGCCAATGAGGAAATTGATGATCTTGAGGAAAGTTTTGCAAAGGCCCTTCAGATCTCACGAGACTATACATAATAGTAGCCAAAACTTAGCTGTTAAATAGGGATAGAGCTAGTTCTGTGGAGAACTGCCATTTGGTAAATAGTAGTAAATTATTAGGTTTCATTTTAGTTTATTCCTGTTTAAATACTGCGGAAATCTCTCTAGCAGGATACTGTTAATTGGGCATTAATCTAGCTCCCTATTAATGTAGACTCTAAAGGGTAAAATGTCAGTTGTCAAACAACTTTTGTCCATTTTGTCTATAATTTTATAACTAAGAATTAACTTTTAAGAATATTAAAATTAGATGTATATTTTTAGAAAGTTGTATTAGTTATGAAATATTTATTGGTTTTTATTTATAATAAATAAATTTATTGCTAGTACAGTTGTGCTCCTGATAGAAAGATCCAAGATTTTTCCATCTGTAAGAATTCAACTTAGCCACACCAAAGCATGCCTACATACCAGGAACTGTTTGTCCATCCTGGAAGAGGGCACTGCTGGATGTTCAGTCCCATTGAGGCTTGAGGTTCTTATGTTTTACAGTTACTGTGAAAGAAAAAAAAAAAAAGTTGATTGTAAGAAACATTCATTTTACTTGCATTACCTAGGGTGAGATAAGGAGTGAGTGCGGACAGGCAGCTTTCCAAACAGAAGAATTTCATTTGGTGCTGGCAGATGATCATTCCTTCTTCAGCCCTCAGCCATGAACCCAGTTATCTTACTCCTTGCACCAACAGGTAGAAAGAGACATTTTTCATTATTAGCTGCTCTCAGTCTTCTCCTAACCTCCTGTCAGCTTTCTGGCCTGAAAAGGACATTTATCTCTAGGTACTGCATATGTGGCTCTTGAGCTGTTTAGTATGCAGCTCATTTGTTTGTTTAATACGCAGCTCTTCAGCTGTTTAATCCTCATTGCCCATGATTCAGCTGATGTTTCTGAAAAGTGAAGGCTGCAACAGTTTTCAAACTGTACAACACTAGAACACCCACTTCAGTTTCTTGCATTAATGACAACCTTGGGGTAGCATTCTGTGTCAAGATTTGGTTTTGGGAAGAGGGTGACTTGGATACCAGTTGATGGCTAGGACTATCTAAGTAGAAGACACATCAGGCATCTTCTACAGCAAATGGAGAAAAGAGGGGGTCTATTTTATGATGAAAGTTTAAATTGAAATTAGCATATGCATTACAAAAAAATCAGCCCAAATTTATTTGTGTAATCAAGAGTACAGCCATTACCTGGCATTCATGTTACTGCAGAAGGAGCTCAACATGTTCGAAGGAGATGCTGTGATACTACATTCTCTTGCTGTAGGTGGGGAACTATTAAGAAGCCTTAAGAACCAGTAAAGCCTGTCGCCAAACACCTCTCGAGTTGGCCTTATTCTGCTTCCTGCAAGGACAAACCCAAGTGGTTACAGTTCGCATGCACAACTGCTACAACCTGCCTCCCCCAGGACTCATGAGTGTCTGCTAAAGACTATTGATTCTGTAAGGAGATGACTGTTGAAGCTATAAGTAGCTCCAATACACATAGGTCACTGCTTCACTTGTGAAGCATAAACTGGTCTGTTTTTTGTCGGGGAGAATTAAATCTAAAAAAGTCTCATAGAAGATCAAAGGAAAGTAGCATTTCGGGCACAGTCAGTGGCATTGCAGTACAGAACAGAACTTCCCAAAAAAAGCAAAATGCACCTTCCTGGCTGCAACAATAAATGACACATGCTGACAGTGCTAGCAGGCTGGGGTTTATTTCAGCCATGTGCATATGGCAGCGCAGATGGGCACAAGCCTTTCATCTGCCGCCACTCCGCTGGCTGTCGTGTAAATCTGGCCTGCAGCTTGAGTGCTCTAGCTCACTGAAGAGTAGGTAAGATAATGTGAGGATTGTTGCATCCCTTCATCGGGGCTTGTCCTGTTGAAAAGACACACAGGGCTGGTTCAGTGCTGTGCAGGGATGGTTTGTCCTGAGTCACATGGGACCAAAAAAGCTCTTCTCTGTCCAAAAGGAAATTCCCTCTCTGTTCCTTACACAACAGAGCTGAAGGGCCAGATGCACAAAGGGAGCTATTGTTTCTGTTGTATGAACAGTTGTACCATAGGGATCAGTAAGGGAACTAAAGAGCATGGTTAGCTACCTCTAAGTATGAAGCCTCTTTGCTCCTCAGCCAGGAATGCATCCACTCCTGGGGCCCTCCATTCTGAGCTCTTCTATCTGTTGATAATGGAACATGGGTGACTTTTCCCTACCTGTCACTACACTGAATAACTTGCATGTCATAAGAAAGATCATTCAGCAGACTTTAGCTTGTGGTCAGCATGAGTCTAAAATAGGAATTTCACATTTAAATTCCACAAATAAAGAAAAGAAACTAAAAATCACAGCAATGCAAGTGGTCATGGTGTCACCTCACAGAAAGGTGCAATAATGACATACTCATTTACTGTAGTATGAGTAACATCAAACAGTTCCTTTACCATATTTCCTGTCATCAGTGACATTTTTTTCTGGCTAGATGGAATTTAAAGGGAAAATAAATTAATTAAAACAGACTTTTTACAAAGAAAGCATCCGTTTGCCTAAACCAGAGTGAAATGCGTGCTAAAGAACCAGAAGATCACATGCTCTCCTGTCCCAGCTGCCAGAGCAATCAGCCCAGTTCGAGGAACTGTTTCTCATTGTACAGGCGTTCCCACCACACAGTGGAAAAAAAACCTTAGAGATAAATGTTATCTTTATAAAATCAATGAGTTTATCTACAGATCCAAAAGCACATTCGGGCTAGCAAGGGCCTAGAGCTCTCCTTTTTATTCATGTTTGCTTTAAGGTGGTGCTTAACGCGTAAGTTAAGTAGCTCGGTAGGCAAGCCTGGCCCATGTCACTGAATGCTTTATAAGTAACAAACTTGGGAGCAGTCACTGCAATGTAAAGACTTATTTTTGCCCATGTTTCTGTGGGGACAAGCATGTGCATAACAACTTCAACATTCACTTCAAATGGACAGAAGCTGGCTATTGTTACTTCACTCTATAACAAACTGACCTCTTACCTTTAAAGCCTACAGTTTTGTCATTGCTCTTCTTGTTTTTAAAGGGAGGATTGTGTTCATTTACAAAGCAAAGTGGGGCTTTTGGTCATATGAAGTGAAGTTGTGATGAAAGAAAAAGGTGTCTTAGGGCTGACCAGAGCACAAAAACCTGCAAACAAAACCCAAGCTATGATTTTATCCCTGATCGACTACATGTCTAAGACACCTACACATTTGTCATTTAGGCTTAGCTGCAGGATGACTCCAGGGTCCTCTTTCTTTGCGTTTCTGTATGGTTTTACATCAGTTATAGCTATGCAACAGTAGTTGCAGAATGATGCAGCTCAACTGATAACATTCATAATTGAAGAACAAATGGCTCCATCAGCCAGTGGGGAAAAATGGCTACTTTTTTCTCAGCAATTATCTGTGCAAGGAGTATCAACAAGGATACTGGAGCATCAGACTAAGTAAAAATCAAGTTCAGGAGCTTCATTTGTGGCACCTACAGCTGTGTGATGTTTCTAGAGCCATCAAACCTTTCACTGGCACTTCCCAAGCACTTAACCCGCTGTTCTCAGGAGCCAGAACTGGTGTGTACACAGATTACAAGGAACAGAACAGTAACCAGTGATTTTAATGAAAAAAGTTTCTCTCTCAGAAACATCCAGACCAGATACTCACAAGCAGTCCAATCTTCCTGTTTCCTTAATCAGTAGTGAAATCTGCTTCATTCAGAAACAACCATCTTCAGTTTCTATTCCAAGCAGCAAAGCAAGTGATACACAAACAGGTGAGCGGTAAACTAATCATCAGCCACACCAGCCATTGCACCAGCATGGGTCACAACCAGTCAAGGGATCCAGTTTCAAAACCTGTAGCAGGTCATGGGCCAGCGGAAGCTGAGCATGTCACAGGGATAAAGCGGTGCTGGGGAGGAAAAGAAGAATCAGCAGTTATCACTGGCATGACAAATCATCAGTCGAGCTGTAGAGCACCCATAGCTCATCTCCACCTCAGCCACCTTAGTTAGGAGGACTCCAGGATGGCAGATAGTCCATGAGTACCAACAAGAAGAGTTAATTCAAGTGAAAGGAACCAAGATTGAGAATGCTGTGTCTACTGTGCATGGAACTTTCTGGTCTCTGTGTAAAGCCTCCAGAGCAGCAGGGCTTTCTCTTTAGGCCTCCTGAAAGGACTGATCCTTTTAGCTCACACACTAATTCCAGCAGATTGAAGTCCAGGAGGTGTGCCTGACCACACATGAAAGTTACCTTTGCATTCATCTTTTAAACAGTGAGACTGGTCTGCAGAATGCAGAGACTCTCAACCCAGGGCCAACATTTTGGGCTGGAGGGATGCTGAAGCTGCCAAACACCCCCCCCCCCAGCAGGCACAGGCACGGGCTGCTGCGGTGTCCTCACTGCTCTGCAGATCACAGGCTGCGGCACACAGAGTCTTCCCTCTGATCCTCCCAGCCCTACCACACTGGGGGAATGAAATTAGACCTTGAGAAGGGCAAGTAAATGCTATATAAATGGAGTAGGGAGGCATAGGAAACTTGAAACTCGAACACCGCCTCAGCCTGGCAGGCTACAGAGCTATGCTGTCCCATTCTTGCGGAGGACAGGCAGCGTGATCTATAGCACGAGGTGCAGAGCTCCCTGCAGTTATCCCAAGAATTCAGCAAGCCCGTAGGACTGCCCTTACAGTATCTGCGCGAGGGCTGCGGCATACCTTACATCTCACAGCAGCCGGAGCTCGATTCCAGAACATGAGTAACAGAAGTATGAGGTGACCCAAGCTCTTCTCATATACTGTTTCTCTCACTCATAAGCATGTTCACATGCCAAATAAGAAGTGAAGCAATGTGTCAAAGGCCATCTGCTCTTCTGCCAGCCTGAGAATTCCTTGCAGGACCTCAGAGGTGTAGCCTCCCCAACCAGAAATTCAGCTCAGAGGCATTTGGCACTCTGCTTTTCCTGATGTTTGACTCAGGCAAGACTGGAGATAATACAGATCAAATAGGTTTGGGAGCTGGTTATGAGGCTTCCCAAATGCTGGGCACAACAAACTCTGATAACAGTTGATTGTAAGAGAAAGAATTGCTCCTGGAGCTCTCATCTCGGCTTCCCTTTCTGAACAAGTTTGCATGATGGGTCCTCCCCTCCCAACTTGACAGTATTAAGCCTTACACAGGGGCTTTCAGCTTAAATGTGGGTTTTTCAAAGGCCCTCGCAGTAGCTTTCCATAGCACATGTTTTCCCCATGGCTGTTCCTCACGATTTAGACTTCTTAGAAGCAATGTTCAGTTCCCTTCATGGTGCAGTCAGACCTCTCCAGAGGGCTTG